GGTGTATACAGCTTCTCAGTCTTGGCTGGAGAGGACTGAAAAGGTTTCCCTTTATTTTTAACAAGGACTGGAGGCAAACAACCCCCCTGAATCAGCTGAAAGCACAAGCACCAGAGAGCTCTCAAGCCCAAGGAGCGTTCTGGTTCTCACTGCACTTGGAAGCCAGGTCTTGGTTTATGTGCTCTGACACCTGCCAGGAAGATGAGAGGAGTCAGAGCCATCTCCTTCTGGAGGCAGCTCCCCTCGGATGCGGGGCCTGGGGGCTTTGTGCTGGGATCCTGCTCCCAGATGCCTGTGGGAGGCACGTGCCAGGCGAGCGGCTTGGCAAAGGCGGTGCTGCGAGAGCTGCGTGTCCCGGGCACGTCTGAACGGGTGTGATGCTGCAGCAGAAGAGCAGGAGCCGATCAGCCTCAGATAGACACAGGCTTGCAGCAGTGCCAGTGACTGTAACGGGAGAGGAACTGATTGCCCAAGGCCCAGATACAGGGACCTGGAAGGAAAGAGATGTGAGATCATTGCTGCAAGGACACCACAGACTGACTGATAGCATCTCACGTGGATGCTTCCAGTCAAACCAAAACCAGCTTCCAAACCCAGATACCAAGCCTGTGGTGTCTGCGAAACCCAGGAAGACTTGGCAGCACAATGATGAGTGTTGCAGAAATCTCGCTGGAGGTTAACAAGTGTAAGCTGGGAGCCAAAGAGGTTTCATGGGCTGGGAGCAGGGACCCTGGTCCAACTTGCAGTTCTCATCAGAGAGATCTGCTCCCATGCAGAGGCTCACATGTCACTGCTGTTCAGCAGCACCCATCTTACGGTTGTCTCACCCACCCCTGCAAATCTGATTCATGTGTGATTGCTGGAGGCACAACTCTGGAAGGAAAGGTACTGTTCCTCCATAAGATTATATATATCTATATAAAGATCACGTCAGCTATATGTAAAACTCATGACTGCTCAGTGGAGGGAGCACTCTTACACTGAAGATGTCCCCAAGCTTTTTGCTGCAGTCACATGTAAATATCCTAACAAAGAACATACCCAGAGCACATTTCCAGGCTGACACGGCTACACTGGATAAGGGGAAGCTCATAGTGTCTACTCTGGTTGTATTCATAGCTAACAAAAGGGCCAAGCTCAAGGATCTGATCTCCAGGAGGTTGTCAGTGCAATAGGTCAATATATGCCCTTTGGTTTACAACAGGGAATTCATGTACATCCATTGTGATGGTCTAATGTATTATCTACAACACTTTTTTTGCTATATACAATGCTTCCTCTGTGTCTAGCTCAATAAAAAAAATCCTTGAGAGCAGGGAAGATGGAGTGTGATGTATAGTCACATAATAAATAGACCTTGAACATTGCTGCTTGAGGGCAATTCCAAGAAACCTCTCGCATAGCTCCTGGTTTGGCAGTCAAGATGCCCGTTGTAATCCCCTGGGCTTTAAAGAAATGCACTAGCGTGCTTGAGTCTCTGGTGTTCAGAGACCAGATTAATGAGTGCTTTCCCACCTTCCCTCCCCTGTAACACTGGTTCTGGCTCCCACAGGCAGTGGGGATACTGCTGGGACTGGGATCACCTCTTGGGGGGAGCCTCTGAAATCCCTGATGCGAGGCACTCGCAGGTTTCCATTCCCTGGCAAGCACCACAGTGCCTGTGTGTGGATGCCCACACTCGGCAGCATCCGTGGGCTCCCCACGGGCATCTGTCGCTCTGAGGCTGTGGAGATGGGGCTGTGACATGCCGGGAGCTGACACGGTGGCTCAGTGCGGGGATGGGGCTGGTTCCCACCTCCCCTCCTGCTGTCACTCCGGCTCCTGCTTTACCTGACTGGTCTCACTTAACTGGCAGGAAGCTTTCCAGGAGCAGAGGTGGCTTGCTCCTGCTTTGTTAGCAATGACTAATGGTAGCCGGCATGAGGAGAATGGAGGTGTGGGGACGCTGTGCTCAGGGCAGGGAGCTGATCCAGTTGAAAACTAGCTCTGAAAAATAATAGCTGGTAATTTTCAAACAGACCTGCCTCATCCATCTGCTGGTGTGAGGGAGAGCTGGGAAGGGCATGGGGCTGACCTGAGCTGATGGCATTGCAGCCTCCCTCTTCCTCCTCTTGATCGTGGTTGTGGTGGCCCCTGCACCAGCCCTGGTGGTTATTTGATCCCGGAGTGAACTGAACTGAGTAGAAACTGCTTTTTCCTTTTCCTTTCTTTTTTAATGCTGGATTAGTTTCCTGCTGACTTTGCTCCCTGGGTGAGAGAGCTGTGGGATGTGGGCTGGTGTCTGAGCAAAGGAGAAGGTGTTAATGTGTGGTCAAGGTCAGGCTCAGGGGTGGGAGTGTGGGACTGTGGCAGCCGCAGCTTTCATCTGTTGAAGTCGGTGTGGACATGGCCTTGGGGATGTGTGGAGAAGTGCTCCTGGAGACCTGCAGGACAAGCTCTGCACGCATGGGAGTCAACGGGCAGGTTTCTGTGGTTTCCAGTGTTACTGGACCGCTACACAGAGCCCGATCGCCTTGGCTCCCTTGCAGCTAAGACAACCAACCTGCTTGAAAACATACATCAAAGCAGGCAGGGAAATACCCAGGGATTGCAGAGGGATGCTATTAGCCACAGGTAGGAGGATGAGGAAGTTTGGGGGTTTTGTTTGCTTATTTTTTTTCCCTTCAGTAGTATTCTTTTACAGTTTGGATGCCCAATGATAGGAAAACAGGGCTGAAGGATGTCCATGGCTGTTCCTCCCCACTGCCCTGCCCTGCTCTCACACTCAGTGCTCAAACACAAAGAGTGTATTCTGATTAATGCAGCCTAAGCAGGAAAAAGGGGAGATGACTCCATGATCTGGTGCATTAGTTGCTGCCTGCCCGAGGCCTCAGTTCCAGTTCTGTGTGCGGCATTTCAAGTGTGACAGAGCTTTGTCATGCCTCAATTCTGTCCTCATCAGAAAATGACAGTCTGAACACTGTCACTTGCTGTGGTTCTGGGAAAGTGCTGAAAAAAAACCCAGTTTCCAGCCCCAGATATTCCGATCCTCCAAGGCAGTGTCCTACAAATCTACTTACAGGTTCTTCCCTATTAGCTGTAAGTGCTGGAATGCTTTTCTAACACGAACAATGGTGATGTAAAAGGATAAAGCCAAAATATGTGCTCCTGTGGCTTTGCACAGTGTAGAATTAAGCGGCGTAATCCAAATAACATCTAGTGCTTTTATAGGGCTGTATGCATATGGCACAAATGGCAGCTAATTAAACTTTATATCCTGCCTACAAGATAAGCATGTAATTAGTATTACATCCTTTTTTATAATTAGGAGGCCTCATCCAAAAAAACGTGGCTCACAACCCATATTTGAAGGCAGTGACTCAGCCCGAATTAGGCTGTGGCGTGAAGACTGAGGAAATCGTGCTTTAGTGAGTGAAAAAAGCAGAGACAAAAGGTCGTGCTGGGATCAGGTTGCTGCGCCGGGACTCATCCGCTGGAAAACGCGGGCGGGTTAACTTTTACCATGGGGACGGTGCTGGGTCCCAGCCCGTGTGTCAGCCCTACGGGAGGCTCCGCTCTGTGCGCGACCCCCGTCTCCCCCAGCCTGCAGGAGAGCGTGAGGCTGGCAGCGGCTCCGCGCCGTGTTTCACGGCTGGCTGGACAGGAATGCTGCCCCGTTCGATCCGGGGCGCGCTGGCGGTGCGGAGCAGGGCTCGTGTCGCGCCCTCCTCGCCAGTGTCTGGGCGGGGGTAAAGAGGGAATTCCATTCAGCCGGGGATTACCGCAAACGGGTCTGTCTGCCGCAGCCTGGGCGGAGGGGGCACCGCGGGTTTGTACGTGCGGCGTCCATGCCCGGGGAGCGGCTCACCCGGAGCTTGGCGCTGTCATTCATGGTGGGAAAGGGTAGACTGGGATCCGTGGGGCCCGCGCTGGTGGCCTCTCCTGCTCTACTTCCCATTATGCACCATCCACCTTACGGCAGCCCGAGCCAAAACCACGATGAGGAGCAATTGCTTTGCGGGCTGCAGTTTGCTCCTGGAAGCTCGCGGCTGAGGGAAGGAGGTGACGAGGCAGCTGCTGCACCCCGGCCAAATTCCTGGCGCGTTCCTGAGGGAGATGGACAGCAGGGAGCAGCGGCTGGGTCTGTGCGCGGCTGCACAGCGCGGTCCTACCGATCGATGCCCATCTCCCTTGCTGGGCTGGAGGCGACCCGCTCGCAGGGATGCAGAGGAGGGGGCTCACAGTCCCTCTGTGCCAGCGCCCTCCACCACCGGCCGTGCCCAGGGATTAAGGGTTTAATTCTCAACTCACGCTGCTAAACCCGCAGGGAGTAATCCCCGCACGGGTGTTCAGCGGCACCGCGGAGAGGCCGGGCCCGGGTCCGGCCCGGGCGGTGCGGGCGGCTCTGCTGCAGGCCGCGGGACCGGTTTACACAGAGCCCCGCACGGGGCGGTCCGCGGGGAGCGGGCTGAGAGCCGGGCCCTGCGGTGACCCCGCCGCGCTCCCGGTGCCGCGGGCGGGGCAGGGCCGGGGCTCACCCACGACGCGGCCCCGGGCGCGGGGTGCTCGGGCCGGTCTCTCCCGCACGCCCGCAGCTGATTGGCTCAGCGGGAGGGACGGGCGGGGCTCGCCGGGGAGGCTGGGGGCGGAGCGTCTCACGCCGTGGTCGCCCATTGGCTGGAGGTGAGCGCGCGGGCGGGCAGCGGCGTGCGGGCCCTGCCCGGGCGGCGGCAGCAGCAGCAGCGGCTCCAGCGGCAGCTTCGGCCCCGCCGCGCCCCAGCGCTCCGCCCGCTCCGCTCCGCTCCACCCGCACGGCCCGGCTCTGCTCCGCTCCGCTCCGTTCCGCTCCACTCTGCACGGCTCGGCTTGCTCTGCTCTGCTCGGCACGACTTGCCCCAGCACGGCCGCTCCCGGGGCGCCACCGCGGCGGCGGCAGCAGCTCCGCGGAGGGGCGGGCTCCCGAGCGTTCCGGCTTTAAAAAGAACGTTAAATTTTCGGGTTTTGGGGTTAATTTTTACAACCTGGTGTTCTCGGCCGCGGCGGCCGCGGGCAGCATGGGGCTGCCGGCGCTGGAGTTCAGCGAGTGCTGCCTGGACAGCCCCCAGTTCCGGGAGCGGCTCCGCTCCCACGAGGCCGAGCTGGAGAAGACCAACAAGTTCATCAAGGAGCTCATCAAGGATGGGAAGTCGCTCGTGGCCGCCCTCAAGAGTAAGTGAGGGGCCGGCGGTGGCTCTGCCGGGGCCCCGCGCACCCCCTCGGCCCGGCCCGCTCTCACCCGCCTGCTCCGTGGCCTCCCGGTCCATCGGGGACCACCTGCTCCCATCCGTGTTCCCCGGCTCTGTGTTCCTCTGTTCCTCTCTGTTCCTCTGGCTGATCCGGCGGGTTAGGCCTGGTCCCGGCCCATAGAGATGTGCATGGTCCTGGTCCATTGGGATGTGCCTGTCCCCGGGTCCACTGGGACATTCATGGCCCAGCAGGTCCCGGTTCTAGGCCCTGAAGGGGTTGTGTTCTTTGAGGATGCTTTGGCTGGGCTGGGGGGTAGGTGCTGTTTCCCCCTGCTTGTCCTTCGTCCCCTCTCTGTTCAGGGTAGGGGACACCCAGTTCCCTTTTCTGGGCTCTGCCCGAGCTGCCCTCACTGGTGCCGTCCCAGCGTGTGTGTTGTGTGTGGGAGCTGCAGGCTGGGGCGCAAAGCTGCGTGCCAGTGGTTTGGAGGGGGGGGCGGATGGACACTGTGGGTCCGGGGCCAGGGAAACCCTGGCCTATGGCTGGCAGCATCCCGGTCCCCCTCAGTCCCAGCTGCTGTCCTCATGGTGGGGCTGGGGACGCGTTTGCATGGCCACCCCGTTGCCAGGGTTGGTTGGGCTGCTCCCCGAGGCTCTATTCCTGCTGCTCCCACCCCCACGGAGTTATTTGGGGATTTTCCTTTAAGTGTCTTTGGCCCAAATCTCATCACTTTCCTGGTCAGTTTCGTGTACTGAGTACTGGGGCACGGTGAGTTGTCACTTGCTGAGATTGCCCTTGTCTGCTCTGCTTCAGTGCTGTGAGGTGGGAGAGAGACACATCCACACAAACGTGCCCCGTGGAGCCCCCGTGGCATTGCCCATGACACACCAGCCTGGCCTTGGGGACATGGCACAGTTACTGTGGGAGCTGGTAGCAGGGTCACCCCTGGGGTGCACAGGCAGGTGATGCTAAGCGCACTGCTCAGTCCAATCCCAGCCAAGGGGCAGCCATGGGGCTGATCCCTGCTTCCCCATCAGCTCTCACACTGAGCCCCTTGGGTGCAGTTCCCCTGTGCTGGAGTAGCAGCTGGTAACATCTGGATTACAGGGACCCCCATTGTACCAATTCTTGGCATTCTGGGTTCATAAAACCCAGCCCAACAGCTGTTGGTGCATCTGTGGCTTTGCAGGTCTGAGTTGTCTTCTGCTGCTGCGTTTGCGTGTTGAGCTGAAGGCAGCCTGTGCCTGGAGCGTTCATTTTGTCACACAACAAATCCTACAGCATTGTTCTTCACTGAAAATACATTTTAGGAGCTAACTGGTAGGTCCCAGGGGTGCTCATCTCTGGGCTTAGTCATTGGGTACATTTAGTGAGTCTCTGGGTAGGTGCTGGCTGTGCCTTTGCCCCATCGTGCTGCAGGACAGGTATTTTTGGGTGTTCTGAACTGTGTGTGCTTGTGGCTGCCCGTGGGCTCCTGTCCCAGTGGCCGTGGCTGCGCTGCTCAGCCCCCGGGCAGGAAGAACGCTCGCCGGCCTCCGGAGATAAGGATGTTTTTATGGCTGAATTGTTTTGGAGCCTCTATTGAATGTGTTCCTGGATTAGACCTTAATTCCTGTGCAGGGCTGGGGTTTGTGGCACTGATGCCCAGGCTGTAGGGGCATGAATAGGGATGATTTTGCTGGAGTGTTAATCAGTGCCCAAGCACAGGCGCTGCCTGGGCCCATGGCCGCATCCCGTGTGTGTGGCTGCAGGTGCAGTGGGATTCTCCCCTCAGATGTGGTCTGCAGGGTGCTCTGGGAGGTTTGGGGGTCCATGGGGCAGGGGCCTGTGGGTGAGTGTCCCTTCCCTGCTGCGCTGCTCGGCTGCTCTGTGCATCCTTCTCCTGCTGTAAGAGTGACTTCACCACCCATGCAGCTGCTGGAGAGCCGTGATGCCTCTGACTTCTCCCACAGGCATGGGACAGGATCTGTCCCAGCTCTTCCCACGTCTGTTACCCTCGGTGTGCGATGGGTCTGAGCTCTGGCCATATTCCGTGAGCTATTACAGACCCTCCAGACACCCGTTAGCACAGAGGAAGATGCTCTGTGGTGGAGAGCTGCTGCGGGTGTCATTCCTGGGTTGGCACCGCTGTGACCTGGTGCAGTGGTACCCGGTAGCCGTTCCCAGCAATAACCAAGTTCTCCCTTCTCTTACCCACCTGTTATTTTGTCTCCAAGGGTTCATCTCCCCGTGGCTGGGCAGGGTGGCCCTATCTCACCGGCATTGCCTCGATGTGTACTCGTTGGCCACTGTGCAGGGTTCCTGGATACGGGGCCGGGCAGGTCCATGCAGCAGCAAACCCCTGGTAGCAGCCTGCAGCCGCTGGCGTGTGGGGCTCGGAGGTGTCTCAGCTCTTGGCACAGTGACCCAGCCTGCAACTGAAGTTACGTGGAGCCTTGGCAATATCCTCTCTCATTTTCCTTCCTCTTGAGTTCTCTGCTGAATGTTTCACATCCTCTTTGTTGTAAGACAGGCGCGAGGGGAACGTAACTCTTTGTGTATCGTCAAGGAGCGAGGTGGAGGGGTGGCTCGGATGGGGCTTCTGTTCCCTGCTGCCCTGCTTGCAGCCTCTGTGCCGCTGGAATTCACATTCAGTAGGTTGAAAAGAATCCTCATTTGCTGAAGGGCTGGTTTTGATGAACATCCTCTGATGCCAACGGCATCTCTGGAGTGTGTACATATATATATATATATATGTATATATATAGATACTGTTGGGTTTTCCCCCCCAGAGAGTGTCTGTGCCTGTTTCTATTGTCTCCCTTTGCTGCTTGGCTGGTATTAGGAGTGACCTGGTTTTCAGCAAAACATGTCCCTCTTCCTCCCTCATACATAAATTATTCAGAAACTTTTGCAAATGCAGAGACCTCAAGTGAGACATAAATAATGAACTTGAAGCCTGGATGCTGTGAAACTTGTTCTGCAGTGAAGGAGCTGTGGTGACCGTGGGTATGGGGGCTGCTGAAGCAGTTTGTCCCTTTGCATGTCCCCTGTGCTGTTGAATGGGGCAGGTGGGGAGCTGTGTCCCGGTGTGGCAGCTGCCTGTGTGCCAGCATCACCTCCAGCCCCTCTGCTTTGATGGAGAGGGATATAGAATCATGGAATCGTTTGGGTTGGAAGGGACCTTAAAGCTCCTCCAGCTCCAACCCCTGCCACGGGCAGGGACCCCTTCCACTGGAGCAGCTTGCTCAAAGCCCCTGTGTCCAACCTGGCCTTGAGCACTGCCAGGGATGGGGCAGCCATCTGGGCACCCTGTGCCAATGCATTGACTCCGGTCACCAAGATGATGCAGAGATGCTTTGCAGCTTGCTTTGGAACGCAGGCAGCACATGTGAGGATGGAGGATGTGGGGGTGCAGGCGGCTGGCAGCCATCGCCTCCCCAGTGCCGCTGCGGGGGGCTGAGCTGGGGCACCTTCCTCATCTTCCTCCACCTCCTTCCCACAGGCGCCGTGTCCCAGTGCCGGTGTCCCTGCGGCTGACGTCTCCTTGGGCGCTGGGGCTGCAGCCGGAGCCCTGCCACGTTTCTGCTCTCGGTTTGCTTTGCTTCTTCCTCCAGCTCCCAAGCTCTAATTTGAAGCCTCTGAACCCATCCCCGCCCCGGCGCAGGCTGCAATTTGTGTGGCAGGGCCGGGCTGGGGCTCTGCAAACCCCCTCCAGTGAGGGTGCCCATGGCCGGTATTCCCAAAGGGAAGGGCAGAGGTGTCCATGCTCCCAAAGCGTGCACTCGGGCCCATCTGGGGTGTGGGATCGTTTTTCCTCTGGGTGTTTTTGGCTGGGTCATTGCAGGGCTGTGGCTGGCAGTGGGGAGGGGCAGGACTGAAGGGGTGATGCTGGGGTGGACCTGGGCCCTTTGGCAGTGGGGAGCTCATCCAGCATCTTAGGGCATGTGCTGCAGCACTGGCTGCAGGTCTTGTGTCTGCTGTGTCCTCCACCAGTGTGCCCATTCCGGCTGGATGACAGCAGGAGGGATTGGCTATGGGGTTTTCCTGGGGCACATCCTGCTCCATGGCTGCCGTGCAGCTTACAAAGCGAAGTGGGGTGTTTATATAGCTCCTGGTGGTGCCATTGGTGTGCTGGGCTCTGCCCATGGACTGCACGCTCTGGGATGTGCTTGCACATGGATTCTGTTCCACATCGCAGTGGTCTCATGCTGAAACCGAGCCTTGATGCAGTGTCTGTGCCCATGGCTGCACCAGGCCTGGGGTTGGCACCGTCTCCGCAGCTCCCTTGGAAGCAAAAGCGAAACCTCTGTGCAGTGTTTAACCTGAGCAGTTAATTCCCTTTTGATACAAACAAGGCTCGGGTTAGTGATGAGGAAATGTTTGCCAATGCCTTTGCTTGCCCTCTGTCCCAGCCACCGCTGCCTTTCCCTGCCTGCTCTGTACACCCCCCGCTTGGCATGCTCGGTCCCCATGGAGCGGCACCCAGCCGGGGTGTGCTGATAGCTAACACAGTGGAACGTCCCTGTTTGCTTTGCCGGGGTGTGTTGGAGGAAGAACCGTGTCCGGGGCTGCTTCCTCACCTGGAGCTGTCTGGGGTTGCAGGTCCTTGTGCTGCAGGCACCCGTCAGCACTCGGGGGAGAAATGTGAAGCTCTTGGATCATCTCCATCCTTTTGCCCTTCTGGTCCCTGGAGAGAGGCAGTAACAGCCCAAACCTTCCCCTTGCCTGTGCACAAAGCAGAGGAGGGGGATGAGATATGGAGGCTTAGGGCTGCCCTTGCCAGGAATGGCCCTTATTTGTGCAGGTGTAAACGTTAACAGAGGCTGGACTGCAGGCTTGGGCTTGGAGGAGGAACAATGTGCTTTCTGGAGGGTGCAAAATACAAATGAACCCATTGGGTTGCGGTGGCCACTTGTGTTCAGTTCTGCTCTGGTTGTGCCGTGAAAAGCGGTGTTTGGTGCTGCCATGGAGCACTCCGTGCTGGATGGCACAGCCAGGCTGCC